GGGAATTTAAAAACAAGCATAAGCATATTTATTTTACTACTAAAGTCTAAACTAAAGTGTTTCCATTAAGGTTTATATGGACCCCCGGAAAAAGTATCTACACGTTCAAAATTTTTGAAAAAATGTGTGAATGTATATACAACCTTCAGTATTATTTTACCAAAATTTGATCCGGTTTGTATCATTTGTTCTCAAGAAAAATCGGAAAATTTACTTTTTTACAAGTATAAAACAAAGAAACTAGACTATCAAGAGAGATCATTATTTCATAAAATAAATTAGTTTTGGTTAAGAAACTTACATAAATTTTTTGAAAATTTTTGAACTTGCAGAAATAACTATAAAAATGAATGTAATATTCAAGAATATACCTTCAATAATTATATTTAAAGACATTGACCTCAAAACATTATTAAGTTTTTTATAAATTTAGTGAAAAATTCAATTAAACAATAACACTATTTTGAATTTCCCCTTTCAAAGTCTTATCTCTGAGAGGTGCTGCCATCTCAATTAGTACTTTCTAAAATTGCTCACAGAGAGCACTAAATTTCATACTCAAACAGAAATTTCGGATGTCCGCGTACACCAACGCTACCGTGTTGCCAGATCGAGTTGTATTACTAAGTTCGCTGGATTAAATAAATATTTTTCTATTAATAATTCGGTCGATGCAAACGTACCTATTCATTTTACAGAATATTTGAATTATTTAATTATTAAATGAAAGGTACATTCTGAATGATGCATGTGTTTTATCAATTAAAAAAGTTGAACAGATGTTTACCAAATAGCAGTATCATGTTAATTGCATGTTGATTAATTTTTGGTAGAAATTGGATCGTAGGACGATATTTAAGAAGGTTGGCAAGTAAAAAAACGGATTTTGAAATTAAAACAACAGGTATTTAGTAATGACATTTTTTCTGTTAAAAAATATAAATTCGTAAAAATCTGATTGGCTCAAAAACCATATTACCTTAGTAGGTATTTCATATTTAAAAAACTATTTCTATTATAAATAAATTTATTAAATATACCTTTTAAAAATTCTTATTGATCCTACAAAAAATAAATCATTGCTAAACATTTACTTAGTAAAAATAGTTATGGTTTTCCTAAGGAACAATTTTTTTCCATCAGCACTAGTAGAACAAAAGTGTTTAACATGTTTTTGTGCATTTAATAGTGCAAATTCTCGTGCTGAGTAAAAACACTTTACTTAAAAATTTTTAGCATCATCTACCAATCCATCCGGTGAAGTTCCTAAGAAACGATAACATTTTTCTTAAAAGATGAATAAACCACATTCAACAACTGTATTCTTTGTAATAGAAGCATATGTTTCAATTGCAACAGTTTCGTTAAGTTTAACATCTATATCTGTAACGTGTGTGTAACAACCACCGTCACTTAGAAAGTAACTGTTGTCACTAAATAATAATGTAGTGGCCAAAAGGACTCTAGTCATCAACGGGGGGTATACACTGTAAGTGTAAAGGCAGCCTGTCACCAGCCACAGTCAGGGGATAAGGTCCTTAGAGCTTATTCACTCTCACCGTGACAAAAAAGGAAAAAAGAAAAAATAAAATAATAGGTTTAAAATAAAAAGAATTTTCCCCCGTGATGAATAGAACGAGCGGATTAAGGAAATGGTTTGGCAAACTGACAATAGGCACCTGTAGTCCTTACTCGAGAGTAGGTTCGCCGGGGCTTCGCAAAAGTGCCCGGAGTGTCTTTTGACAAAAGGAGAAGGTAGACCTGATGAAATCGAATATATTTTGGTTAAAGAATAAAAAAGAACATCTAAATAATTATTCAGTTATCCAACTCTGGACTTTGTTAGATAGCTTATCTGAACTAGGGGTTGTCCCTCTTTATAGAACTCGGGCAGAACTCAACAACTCTTAACACACATAAGATAAAACCAGGTGAACGTTTAACAACTTAATATATTTAGCTCAATATATATTTAAACATGTAACAAATTTTAATCATAGACAAAAAAAAAACGATCAAGTAATACAATATGTTTGGAGGTACAAGATCCACCCTGAGGTTCTTGCCTGATTCGGTAAATCAGTCGGCGATAACAAAATACCGATAAATAATGTAAGAACAGATAGCAAAAAAAATGTCAGAAATCCCGTTGAATCTTGTAGCTACCAAAGTCAAAAAAATAAACTATATCACTCCCTATTAAAATCTACGATGAGAGGTATCAAAATAACTTGGCAAAATGAAAAAAAAAGAGAGAACTGTCACAATTTTAATGTAGTGAAAGAGGAAGGCTTACCTTGCTCGAAACGTAGTTTCGATTTCACTAAGTTTAAATTGATTGGCTGATATTTATTATTAAATCACAATTTAAAAAAATTACTTTATGATTCCCGATATACGATTTATCGGCGTCGATGGGTAGTCGGACAGCGTAACGTCCGGCCCACTCAGTAACTGTCCTTTTCCCTCGTTTCCACATCATTTTTATATTGATTGAGACGTGCTTTCTTTGAAATTTTTGGTCAACTCAAATATTTAATTTACTTTGATATTATAGTAACTGTTTACTATTTCTAAGGTCAAATGTACTTGAAAATTTATATGAGATTTTTATGTAAAATCTTTAGAATTATTAAAATAATTGCCAAATTATTACATGTGTAGGGTGGGTTAACCCACGGCACTTAGCCCTTACTAAACCCATTTTACATCTTCCTAAATAGATAGGCACCTCCTAGCTCGTGAGCCAGCCTACAGATTTAATGTAGTTGACAATATTGCCAAGAGGTGCCTTTCTTATATCGGCTGGTGTTAGCCAATTATCAACGAATACAAATCATTTAATAAATGTGAGCATCGATCACTTGTAGACGATATACTCGATGATATCATCTTTTTGTTTGCACCCTTTGCAGAGTGCGGATTCTGCCAGCCCCATGACATGGAGATGTTTCCCTACTTGGCAGTGACCCGTCAGAATCATATAAAGGGACAATTCTGCTCGTGGTATACTCGTTGTAACTTTTACGGTCTCCTCCCCGGTTATGACCACTCTTCTTGTTTTTTTTTTTAATGAAACACCCTATATATTAGTAAGACAATAACTCAAAATCAATCCCATATAAATTAATTTTATTAAGTTAAATGTTTTGGCCTTAGGACAGCATCAGGTCTAAAAATTAAGTGATAAGCGCTAACAAAACACTACTAGGACGTCCCCATAAAAAGGTTAAAAAAATACACGTGCATGATTAAAACCGAGCCCCAACAAGGGTAAGGTAGTTGTAAGAAATATCATATGTGGGACATGTTGATAAATGTGAGAATATGGCGATGAGTAGTGTTAGCCTATAAGTTTCTTTATGCAAATCTTTTTCAACTTGTACAATTTCTATCATATTTCCCACATATGGTATCTCTTACAACTGCCTTTTTAATCATACACGTGTATTTTTTTTAAATATTTTATGGAGACGTCATTTTATATTGTAAGCGCTTATTACTTTATTTTTAGACCTGATGATGGCCTAATCCCGAAACCGGTTGTCATTTAACTTCCTAAAATTAAATAACGTGGGATTGATTTTGAGTCATTTTTTTATCTTTAAGGTACATATTAGTTAGTTACTCTGTATACTATCACATTTTTCTACTCTTTTATACTATTCGATTTCAAAAATGTATACCTGAGGTGTACATTGAATCGTCTGGAAGTTGCTTTTTTTGAGCTTTTGTTTACGTTCTTTCTTTCTTTCCCTTTCTGTCTATTTTTTTTTCTTTCTCTTCTCACCTTTAAAATTATGGATAGTTTTCATTGAAATTATTTAATATTCATTTAATTATTAAATAGTTCCCAACCATAGCGCGCGAACGTAGTCCATTCGCCAAACCACATAGATTATATTGTTCTAATTTTATACCATATTTTAAGGATAATGCGCTCACCCTAAATAATTTTATTTTAGTAAAGTTCATAGCTGAGAATGATTGAGCGGACCAGTGGAAGACTTAACAAAAGCTCGCCAGGTCATATCCATCTCTTAGCTGGATCGCTTGGGCCGTCCGCGCTCAACACCTCACCTCCCGCGGCTTACAACATAAACAAATAAAACATAATTATATTGAAGTTTGGCAACGTTCTTCGCATCGAATCATAAAGATCTCCCGCGTAATCTATTATTGTGCTAGCAGTCTCTTTTGGCGGCGATATAAACTAACGAAATATTATTCTATCACAGATAGAACCCTGTAACTTTAATAAATTGTATACTAAATTTGATGCGACAGGTAGAGCCATCTCTAGAGTCAGAAACGAGTGAGGAGGTGGGTCCATATAAACCTTAATAACAATTTTTGCGAAATTAATAACGTTGAAATATCAAAAGAAATAAATAATAGTTAAACAAAGGTGATAATACATGTGATATTATGGCATAAAATCTTTAAATCTACACCCTACACCACTGAACAATGCAATACATCACCTAACCATGGTATAAAAAACAAAAGGTAGGATATCAACACTGGCAAAAATAGAACGGCTACGCACATGACGTCACGCGTAGAGATTGTATAGGCGACAATTTAAAAATACTGTATGAGGAAAATATATGATTTTTAGAGAAATTTAATGAATATTAAAGGATAATAGTTTAGAAATTACATGAAATGTCTAAGGATATTGTTACAGGATAGTTAAGGAAAGAATTATGAATTGATAAAATTGTTTTGTACCGCCGTCAAATCCTTCAGTTTATCCCTTCCAATACCTCACAACACATGTCTCTTCACTCCTGATCTAAAACTGGAATGTATCCATACAGATATCGATGTCAGCGTCACAAATTTTACCTCTGGGTAGTACAGACAAGAAAAGAAGAAGGGTACAGTATCAATTTAACAAGTTATAATGTTATAGCCATAATATAAAGTTTGTAGCTGTTTTCCAAGTTACAGTATCAAGGTTATTCCAAACAAATGATATTATTAAAAATACTTACTATTTGGTATTAATGACACCTAAAACGTCTACCAGAACGGAAATATCTCCCATGGCCACTGCAGACTCAACAGCTGATTTCATATCTTTGCTCCTATATTGATTAAGTACTAATTTAAGACTGCGTTGTCGAGTATTTAAAATATCCCTTATAGGGTCATGACCTCTCATTATGACACCTAGAACTTCAGCTTCTGACATATCCGGCAGTTGTTGTTGGAAACCGGGAGAATTGTAATTTTTCTGAAATAAACAACTATCAGTTAAAATCACAAATAAAATATACAGTATGCAGCATAAGTACCAAATAAATTTTAGGTTATTCAATGTTTTTAAAGTACGAAAGATTATCGGTATCTCAAATAAAATGTATAAGAAATTATTTATATATTGCACTAGTTTCAACTAGTTAGTTAGCCATCATCAGATAATACTAATAGAAATAAAACCGTAGGGTTTAACATATATTAATGATGAAGAACAGCAATCGGAGATCCCATAAACTACATTCTATGTACCTGCTTTGTTTTGGAAATAACTATAGATTCTAGATTTTCAGATTTACCCAACTGAAGCCCTCCAACTTTAAAAAAGTCTCACCCAATTCAACCATGGCCTTCATCAAAAGGTGAGGCTTGTATGGTAAACTATAAGCTATACATGAGCCAGAATAGATCCAGTTGGGTGGCAGTGGAAGGCTTATTTCCAACCTAATCTACTATTAATCATATTTATTGACTTACTGGTAAAAAATCGTCTAGATCCAATCCCACTGGCCTATCAATGGACACCGGAATAAAATCATCGTCTTGTATGGAGTGTTCTTCGGGCGATATCCTCGACGAATTGACGTAGATGTCGACATTTGGGAGGGTAGTTGATTTTCTGGCACTTGGCAACTTTGAGACGTTAGGAACACTTGTGGAATTGCGACTACTGGGTTTTGAGAACGAGTTTTTGCGCGATGAGGTTCTCGAAGAAAGGGAACCTAAAATAAAAGATTTTAGTTATATTAAGCAAGTATACAGTGTGTGGCATAAAGTTGGATCACTATATGAGTTTTTTGATAAAACTGTTGAAAAAAAAAAAAACTACTTAGGACAATGCTTTAAAAACTTAAAATGGTCCATATCAAAGGCGGTTACTGACATTTATATGTCAGAATCTATATTTTTGGAAAAATATTTCAAAAATTGCCTTATTTATAATATAAAAAAATTATTAGAGAAATTTCTAATGGCATTTGAGGTTAACATACCGATTTTGAAAGAAATATTTCGAATTTTAGTTTTTAACATTTTTTGATACAATCCCGTAACTGACAACTTTGCATTCATTGAAAAAGCTTCAAAGGGACGAGAAGAAAACAATTCCATACCAATTTTTGTTAATAATATTGGTTGTGATTATTTTTTACGAATATTAAAACTATGTAAAAGCAAATATATCGGAAAATTGAGTTATGGTATATTTAATTTTAAATGAATTACTATGTTATAAAAAATATTTTTAACATGCCAAATGCTTATAATAAATTATACATAGACAGTATCCAATCGATTGCTAGTATGATTGATCATACAATACTAGATTATCAAATTTTAGACAGACACAATGGACATTTTCTTGGAAAATTTCAACTATGTACGGTGGATTCTTTAAGAGACATTCTTTTTGGAATGAAAAATAAAAGTAGCACAGATGACATTAACATTAATATTTTAAAAAATTGTTTTCCCAACCTCTCAGAACCACTTTTAAATTTGATAAATTCGTCATTAGAAATTTCAAAAATACCTAATGCTCTAAAAATGGGTATAGTAGAGCAAGCATTGGAGTGGTGTGTGGATTATCTAAGTAAGAAGAAACAAAAGTAAATAACATTTTGTCAGAGGAAATTAACTATATCAAAGGTGTTGCTCAGGGAAGTATATTGGAACCCCTGTTGTTCTTAGTGTGTATCAATGACATTTTTGATTTCAAGGGTCAATGTGACATTCACCTGTTTGCTGATGATGCCCTAATATATTTTTCTTGTAAGGATCCAGATAACTTGGTAAGAGTTGTTAATGAAACACTGCAACATGTTTATAAATGTTGAAATTAACACAAATAAAACAAAATGTATGCTGATAAGTAGCAACTATAACTATACACAGTTTGTTGATAAACAATATAACAAGAATTGGAGGAAATTCTGTAGTTAGTAAAAAAATTCAGATGAGCAGATGATATTCATAGATCATGCCAACACTGTTATCAAAACTATTGCATTTAAGTTAAATTTCCTATTTAGAAGTTCATTTGGCTTATCACAGTGGACTAAATGTATTAATGTAATAATTTGGCAATTATTTTAATTAATCTAAAGATTTTACATAAAAATCTCATATAAATTTTCAAGTACCTTTCTTCATTTGACCTTAGAAATAGTAAACAGTTACTATAATATCAAAGTAAATTAAATATATGGGTTGACCAAAAATTTCAAAGAAAGCACGTCTCAATCAATATAAAAATGATGTGGGAACGAGGGCAAAGGACAGTTACTGAGTGGGCCGGACGTAACGCTGTCCGACTACCCATCGACGCCGATAAATCGTATATCGGGAATTATAAAGTAATTTTTTTAAATTGTGATTTAATAATAAATATCAGCCAATCAATTTAAACTTAGTGAAATCGAAACTACGTTTCGAGCAAGGTAAGCCTTCCTCTTTCACTACATTAAAATTGTGACAGTTCTCTTTTTTCATTTTGCCAAATTATTTTGTTACCTCTCATCGTAGATTTTAATAGGAAGTGATATAGTTTATTTTTTTGACTTTGGTAGCTACAGGATCCAATGAGATTTCTGACATTTTTTTGCTATCTATTCTTACATTATTTATCGGTATTTTGTTATCGTCGACTGATTTACCGAATCAGGGTGGATCTTGTACCTCCAAACATATTGTATTACTTGATCGTTTTTTGTCTATGATTAAAATTTGTTACATGTTTAAATATATTGAGCTAAATATATTAAGTTGTTAAACGTTCACCTGTTTTTATCTTAATGTGTGTTAAAAATTGTTGAGTTCAGCCCGAGTTCTATAAGAGGAACAACCCCTAGTTCAGATAAGCTATCTAACAAAGTCCAGAGTTAGATAACTGAATAATTATTTAGATGTTATTTTTTATTTCTTAACCAAAATATATTCTATTTCATCAGGTCTACCTTCCCCTTTTGTCAAAAGACACTCCGGGCACTTTTGCGAAGCCCCGGCGAACCTACCCCCGAGTAAGGACTATAGGTGCCTATTGTCAGTTTGCCAAACCATTTCCTTAACCCGCTCGTACTATTCATCACGGGGGAAAATTCTTTTATTTTAAACCTATTATTTTATTTTTTCTTTTTTCCTTTTTTTTTGTCACGGTGAGAGTGAATAAGCTCTAAGGATCTTACCCCTCGTTGATGACTAAAGTCCTTTTGGCCACTACATTATTATTTAATGACAATAGTTACTTTCTAAGTGACGGTGGTTGTTAAATTAATATAATACTATAATTCTACCGCAATTTAATTATTGCTCTACAATACTCTTTTTACTAAATCAAAATGAGTTAAACCGACTACAGAAGCTGCAGAATGGATGCGAATAATATTATCCTGTTCAAAATATACTTCCATTAATCTAATGCTTGAAACTTTGAGGTGGATGCCAATCAAAAGTCTCTTATTACGGAATGCATTAACTTTTATTTATAAAATCAAACACGGGTTACTTCCAATGTACCTAAAAGAGAAGCTTGATTATCACTCTAATGTGAACAATTATCCAATACGAAATAATTTTTATATTGAAACAGTTGTTAAGAGTACATCACACACTATTTTTTAAAGGTCTAAATTAATATAACGCACTTCCAGAGAAAATTAAATCAGTAACGTCTGTAACTACATTTAAAGTCAAAGTGACAGATTTCTTAATTGATGAATATTTCTCCAGAAACAGTAACAACCTATAGAATTTTAGTTAGTTTTAATTGTATCTAAATTATCTATGTTTTGACTTATTATATGTATATGTATATTTTTACTAAATTTGTATATTGTGATATTAGCAAACTAGCTAAATAAAGGAAATTATTATAATAATTAAAAAAGGTATTAATTCAGTGACACATTTTTTGATCACTGAATAATTATAATTTTTATTTAAGGTCTATTATACATAAATTGATATTACTGTTTATGTTGTTTTTGAGCCCAATTAAAAACTTATGACACCAGTAGATAATAAGACATTTCACTCTAAACTCTTGGATTTTCCCCAGATCTGGAGAAAAATTATGAAGAAATGTAGATATGACAACACCGCTTTTACATGTTAAATTATTGATCTGGTAAATAGGAAAATACCTTTATTAATATTGGCTTCGGATACACTATGTTTAATACTAGAAGATTTTGGGGGTTTTTCAGGAACATCTTTACAGCTACTTTGCCTTTGAAGGACGAACTTCGGTGCAGGTTTTGTCTTGTTTATATTGGGCAGAATATTTTCTCTATTGTCTCTCTGTTGTCGATTTTCGTAAACCTAAAAATTATTTTAATAAAATATACCTGTAGATTTTAACATAAAATTAATTATAATTGAAGACATAAGTCAGAGACAATCCAGCGAGACGTGTAACTCAATGTATTTTTTTTGTTCGGTAAAACTTATTTGGGCGATTGTAACCACAACCAGTCTATGATGGCGCCACTAGTAAATAGCGGGAAAATTAAAAATGCTTTAGGGCGGGAAATTCAAACATGGATTCAGAAATCGTTTTTGTACAAAACAAATTTACAAGAGAAACAAAAACTATTGTTTCACTGTTTATTAAAAAATATAAAAGCTTCCAATAACATCAAATTTTTTATCATATAAATAATCATTTTAATAAAGGAAGTTTTAATCAGTTTAATATAAGCAGTGAACATAGTTTTTATTACTCTTGTAAATTTCGCTAAAAAAACTTGAAAATTCTATTAATTATTAAATATTTAAACTTGGAAAAATAATACACCAAACTCTTTTTCTATAAATTATATTTTTTTAAGGTACAAAAAAACAAACTACAATTGCTATGTTTAGAAAGTACCTCCTATCATTTTGTGACAAATTACAAAGAAAGTAACAATTGTTATATATTCATAATATATTTAAAAACTAATGTAACAAATATTTTATAAAGTATAGAGTATATCGATACCTTTTTGCCAGACTATCATAAGTGCCATTTGAACAAATGTCGCTTATGTTAGTCTGGCAAAAAGGTATCGATATGTTATGACTGTTTATTTTAATAGAAACCATGGAAATGAAACAAACACAGATACACTCAACACAAATGTATAAGGCCTGAGTCGAGTTCCCATCCTGTAAACTGGATCGAAAACCTGCTAACTCCTCTTATAGTAATCAAGATCAATAGATTTATATGCCATGCCTTCTAAAAGGGAATGAAGGATGACATACTATCATCATTTAAACAGGACGTTGCTGAAGGCTTACCCCTGTTATTTCGTTTGCTTGTGTATCTTGTGTGTGTGCATTCCTGTTGTGTCCCCAGTCATGTAAAAGTTTTCCTAGTCTCCTAATTTGGTTACTAGGTGGACCTTCTCCAACTAGTAGTCTAATCTATTCGATCTGTTCGGAAGCAGGAGGTACTTTTCAAACATAGCAAATAATATTATTAATAATACACTATTTAAAGATAAATACATTTTTGTAATTTTTTTGTCATTGCCCCTTACCTTTCTCTTACACCACTAGGGTATACCTATTTTCCATATTCCCTTAATTATAGATTACCTTACAATGTTCGAATGAATATAACATTTTACTCATGAGAAAGCTAATTTCATATTTAACTCATTTTCAATTTCATTTGAAACAATAATTGGTACCTATATTACAATTTATTATCAAAGAAAATTTCTAATAAAGTTATAGCAAATCCTACTTAAACTACTGGTTGTTCTGCAGGATAAATTAACTTTTCTTGAGATTGATCTCTCTATAAAATCCAAAACCGACCTGATGTCCCCAAATTTATTTTCCAATGCATCCTGATTTAAAATTCTGCCCTTTTGTGATTCAATTTTTTTTTTCTTCCTTTAGAGTGGCTGTTAGAGGTAGGTGTATGTAAGAAATAGCTAATCTCTAATCATTTCAAAAGTCCTTTGCCAATACTACATGTGCAGATTTTTTACTCAGCATACATTTTACTTTTCTAGTAGATAGGAACTTTGTGTTGCCATTAAAGCTGTCCAGACATTCATCTACCTACTTAATGAACACAAGTAGCTGTAACAATGGATCTCTGTTCCAATTCACCTAAAATAATTATAGTCATTGTGTAATATATTATTAAACACACACATTATACAGTGGTTTTCTTAATAAATTGGAAATTACTTACTCTAGAAAATGTGTACAAAAACGCGAGTTTGGTTCCAGAAATTGCTTCATGCAAAAAATAATATGCAAAAATAAACAGTCCCCCCCAAAGAAAACTAATTAAACAACAAAATCAGACTAAAAGAAATATCCCAAATTAAATTAATTTTAATAAAATGCACATGTTCATAACAACATTCATAACATAGTCAGTTGTCAGTTTTAATACTTTTAAACGATATTTCTACGTCAAAAAACCAGCAACACCAGCGCCCTCTGAAAATGGTGTTAGTTTTATTGGAGAGAGATAGACATATGTAAAGATCAATGTAAAAGAAAAAGAGGGTCATATATGTAATTTAAATGGACCACCGAACATATTTTCCTATTAAGTTACACGTCTCTGTTGTCCTCTGCATAAGTGGATGAAGGGTCTATGTAACAGAAACATACTTTAGATATATTTTTGAGTTTGAAGTTTCTTATTAGAATAGTTCACCACAGGACATTGGTTCTTTATCCCCTGGTAACATCTTTATTTGAGATAATATCATAGCATATCATAGAAGTAATTTTAGGTAGGTCTATAGGATCATCATTTATGCAAAACAATAGATTTAAAAAAAATGTACACATAGACTCTTAATCCACTTATATCTTTAATTAAAAAGTCACAATTAAATACCTGGTCCAAATTCGATTTAGATCTGGAATAGTGGTTGATGGTATTGATCTGAATAGTGGAATTTTTGTAATTATTAATATCATTGTCTAATGAGAGAGCTTCGAAATTGTCGCTGATGATGTCGCCCAATATTTGAGGCTCTGTAAAGTAAAATTTTATTTATTTTAAACATCTTTGTCTACAATTTTTAAAGTATCAGATGGATCCAAAGACTAATTTTTAGTCTAGTTTGTGATAAAATTAGTTCACTGTCATTTTTTTAAAGATATGGCTTCCGAGGAGTAGTGCTGAACTTAACCTTAGTGTAGCCAGGATGTCTAGGTTTAAATGTCTGGATATTTCCAGGATAAAACAAAAAATTCCAGGATCATATATTATAGCTTACCTAAAAGATCGTCCTTTTCAGGCTCTTGAAAAGGTTCTGGTTCTGGGGGCGGCGTCCTTTGTACTAAAAGTAATAAAATTGTATAAATTTATATAAGTCATAAAAAGTATTCGTTTCGAATATACCGGGTGTACGCATGAAAACTTCGAAAAGCTTAATTTTTGGCAAAATTTAAATTGAAATCTTGAAATTTTGAAGTATGAGAAAGTGCAGGGCTTGATGTTTCATAACACAATAAAATAGTCAATTAAAATATCTCAAAAATTAACTAAAATAACATGTAACATGTCAGATTCAAAAGATCAATAAGAAGATGGAGGAAAATAGGAAGCAAGATAAAGGAGAAATAATAAAAATTGACAAAATGATAGAAACATATAGTGAAGAAACAAAGAAAATTAAAGAAAAAAAAATGCAAATTAGAACCATGCAAAGTAAATAAAGAATAAATGCATATAGAAGCAAAGGAAGTTGAAATCAACATAGAAATTAAAGACGTAAGTAAATATTGAAGTAGAAAAATAGAATAAGAAATTGAAGAAAAAGACAGTAACAAAAAAAGACAGATTCAGATTGTAGGAAAAGTAAACAAAATTTGTAGAGAGAAAATTAAAGAAAACAGAAAACAAATTCAAGAGGAATATAGAAAGCAAGATAAACGAGAATCGAATTTATCTAGAATCAGGAAGAATAAACAGAAAGATATTATACCGAAATCAATTAATTAGACCAATAATTTTTAATTTCAATTTAAATGCAGCACGATATCTTCAGCTCTTACAAGAACAAATAATGCCCGCTGTGAGGGCATCTGTGGGGAACTTTGATCAAATTTGGCATATGAACGATGGTTGTCTAGCTCATAATGCCGCCGTCGTAAAGAATTATTTGGAAGAAAAGTTCCCCAATAGATTAATTGCGAATAATGGCGACATTTTGTGGCCTGCTAGATCCCCTGATATAAATCCCCTTGGCTTCTTTTTATGGGGACACATCAAAAACGAACTTTACTCATTTGAAGCTCCCCAAAAATATTGCAGTTTTAGAAGAAAGAGTCCGAAACACTATGGGTGCAATGAATAGAAACACATTATTAAGAGCAATAAACTCTCTGCAAAATCGTTGTCAAATGTGTTGTGATCAAAATGGTGGCCACATAGAACAATTTCTTTAAATTAGATAGTTTATATCTGCAGCTTACATTGTAAATTGTCCCAAAAATTATCGCAAAATCGTTGTTGTTATATGGTTTTTATAAAGTTCAAATTAAACAATTCTATTTAATGCAATAAAAATCCAATATGGCGCCCATAATAAAAACAAAGTTATAGTCAATATCTCGAAAACGGAAGGAGAAATTCTTTTGTTTTTTTTATTGTAAAGACCTTAAAAAAGTGCCCATAGAATGTCTAGACCAAAATACCGTATGTTCTCAAATAATCGTGATACAGAGGACTGTCAAAAACCCACCATTTTGGTTTTTCGCGATTTATTCAAAAACCAAAAATAACTGACAAAATGTAATAGCAGTTCTGAAATGGTATTAGAATCCTGAGAAACATTGTCCATTTAACCGATTTTGTAGCTCTTATAATAACCGAGATAGCAATACATGCAGCACCAATTTGGGACATAGTGTATACAGGGCAGAAACTAAATCTCCATATTTCAACTTGAAAATCAAGATATCAGAAGGGATACAGCCTAGAAAGACGTAAGTCTCAATTAATATTTATTTTTGTGTTTAAAAGATAATAAGTGATGTTGATTATAACCTATAATGCTTACCATATAATATGTAATGGGTAAATGTGCCTGTTTCTAAGCAGGGAATACTTAAGTAAGAATTGAAGTAAACTGTAGTTATGATCCTTTTTAAATCCAATTAACCAGAAGAGTTTCTAACTAGAACAACTCTTAGTAGGTATCGATAACTTGGTTTACGAAATTAACAATGTAAGAAATTACAAATCTGCCATGCGGATCTCATGAACTCCTTAAGAAGAATGTCAGATTTAACCTTACTCAGGTTTTTCCTGTTTCAGAGCTTAGTTTAATTACTTCACTCCTTAAATTACTTATTACTGAATTAATTAGGTACTCTGTACCAAATAGACTTTTATGTTACTCCAAGAATCATTTAATAAAAGTTTTATTGCTCAAGAATGATTGTCATCCTTGTCATATAGTTAATAATGTAAACAAGCACGATAAATATATGCATTTTTGAAGGCTTACTTCATACTTCTGTATTGTATTCCTACTTTTAGATGAATCGTCTCAGGAAAATACACTAAGAAAATCGGCTACCATTGTAAAAGTAAAAACAAGGACTACGAAAAATGAATTATAAAAGACTTCAACTCCGCAAGTTCAACTAGCTTCAAGTAAGATAAATTTATCTTCATGAAAATTCTCTTTTGCTAAATATTAAGTAATTATTACGATATAAATGGTACATAAATTTTTATAATCATGATATTTATTCTGCCCTGCTTAGCTAAAACGTCCTATCTGATAAAAACTCATTTTTAGTAGGGGATTTTTACCTTAATTTTATTTTTATTATTTGATGTTATAGAGGCAACAGAAATACACATTTTGTGAAAATTTAAACTGTCGACCTTTTACGCATCATGAGATACAACCCAGTGACAGGCAGACGGATAGCAGGGGCTTAGTAATAGGGTACGGAACCCTAAAAAGTAAAATATTTATTCTTGTCTATTTTACTGATAGGCAAATCCATTTTACTGGGTGAACAAATTAATAAACTTGGTAGGAAATCGACCAAATAAATATTTAAAGATGACCTTCCAAGTGAGGTTATGAATAGAAAGGACATTCCAGTGAAATAAGTGGAAATGTTTCAAAATATGTAAGCAGTAGAGATGGGACTTTAAATGAAAAGTAATATTTTGGACTAGTCCGACGGATATGCCCGGAAAAGTAGTGAAAAGTAATGAAAAGTAGTTGACCTTGAGTATAGAAAACACCTAGTTTAATCTCCATCCTGGATGTTTTTCAAAAACACTGTGGGAACAATATTTGCATTTATATTTTCGTTTTTTTTTTTAGGCAAATCATTTGTAAAAAATTTTTCGCGAGTTTATTTTAATAAGATACGAAACGAAAATTCGAAAACATCGTTAAAACATTATAAAGTCAGTAAACATTTGTCTTCTCTTAACTTTTAAACTAAATCTTTATTTGTAAGAAACTCAGACGAATTAGTTAATTAATTTCACACATGCGCAATACACTTTTCCACTTATGAAAAGTGTGTTTGGCAACCGAAGATACTACTGCGAAGTAAAGTAAGTTTAATGTATAGTAGATAAAAAGAGAGAGAGAAGTTGATGGCAAAATGTTTGAGAACTGAGAACGCAGTTTTGGAAATAATCAGAGACAGAGTTCTGTTATTGAAAAGAATTCATGGACAAGGTATGGCAAAATGGGAACGGTTTAAGGAACTTTCTATTTTATTCTATATAATTGAAACATTACTATTTTGATTCGAAATTACAAAAATATAAATTGAAAAGATTACTTAAACAATCAACCAACAAATTGACCAATTATAATAATAATAATAATAATAATGTTTATTCAATTCAATTCAGTACAGTACATAAATTCAATAATACATATAAATATAAGGATAGATACATAAAAGTTAGGATAGATACAAGTAACATATTATTATTATTATTAACTACCTCATTAAAATAATACATACTAAGTAGAGGGTGAATAAACAAAGTTAAGCCACAGAAGTAGTTTTTAGAACTACTTGTATTGTGACCTTAATAAAGTTTGTTTTGCCTTTTTTGGGCGACACAAACAGGGTTTTTGTCAAACCCAGTGAAAAAAAAAATATATTGTCAAATCCAGTTTAAGACACATTCGGGGTATAAGGACAAAATAGAGGTAAGTTAAAATTAAAATATCAGATACATAATCTTGCAGACACATATTCTTGAAATGGCTATTTTTGTCACTGTAGAGTTTGATTTACTATATCGGTAAAAAATCGTCTCTCTGTTTCCATAATCCATTTTTTAATTCGATTTTTATATAAATTAAAACTTGTTGAGTTTTTTATATCATTAGATAACAGCACGTAAATTCTTGGGGCTAAATGGTTAGTATTTCTTTTCCCGATAGTTTTTTCACTTCGTGGGAAAACGATCCCTTCATATCTCCTAGTATTATAAGAGTGTTCATGATGTACAAATTTTATTTTATTTTGAAATATAAAAAACAATATTTTTTGAACGAAAATTTGTCGTACATCTTTTACTTGGGCATCTAGATATAATTGATCTGAGGAAAATAAAATATTTTTTTGGAATATGATTCTTAAAAGCCATTTTTGTACAATATGAACACTATTTAAGAAACAGTCATTTACTCCACCCCACCCTAAAATACCATAAGAAAGCAGTGACTCAACCAGTGAGAAATACAAGACTTTTAATTCCTCAACTTCAAGAATTTCCTTTAAATACCTAAATTTTGGCAAATGACCTCTTATTTTTTTTACTATTTCCTTACATTGTAGATCCCATCTCATATGACGATCAATTGTAATACCGAGGTATTTTACTTTTTCTGCTTCTACAATGTGGTTAGTCGTCCCGATGTTCAGTGGCCCCAAGTTAGGTAACCCAGTTAGGTAGGATGAAAAAGGTAAGTAGTTTGTTTTACTAGAGTTAAGCGTTAATTTATTGAATTGTAACCATTTAGTAATAAAAGGAAAATCATTTTCTATTTTATTTTTTAGATCTTGCCAGTTGGATGAATTATAAAATACTACAGTGTCATCTGCAAAACTGATGAGCTCACCCTGAATATTCAAGGAAAGCATACTATTAATATATAAAAGGAACAGAAGTGGACCAAGAACGGTTCCTTGAGGTACACCGTAAGTAATTGTTTGCGGTGTGCTCATTACTCCATCGATTTCTACTATTTGATCCCTATCTGATAAATAACTTTCAATGAGTTTGTAGGTATTTCCTCTTATACCATACTTCTCTAATTTATTTAATAACGATTTGTGGCAAACGGTATCAAATGCTTTAGAGAGATCTAGGAAGATACACACAGCAGGAATATTATTATCAAGCGAATCATAAATAAGAGAAGTTAACTTATATATCGCATCTTCAGTCGACCTAGATTCTCTGAAGCCATACTGCCGATTGGATAAAATTTTATATTTTTTAAGAAGGAACAAAGTCTAATTTTTATAATTTTTTCTATTATTTTCGAAATATTTGACACCAGTGATACAAGCCTGTAATTAACCATTTCCGTTTTTTTCCACTTTTATAAAGTGGTTTAACTAGACCATTTTTCAGAATTTTCGGAAAAGAGCCTGTACTAAAACATTTATTTATTAAGTAGGTTAGTGGACTTGCAATCTCATTAGATATTTCCCTTAATGTTTCAGACCTTATACAATCGAGGCCTGGTGACTTCTTAAGTTTCAAAACTTTAATTGTATTAATGACCTCAACCTCATCAGTAGGGCTAAGGAACATAGTACTTTCTAAGCAATTTATATTTTCTGTATAATTTGTTACTTTTGGTATTTTTTCAGCTAAATTTAAGCCTAGTTCACAGTAGTATGTATTAAATTCATTTGCAATATTCAATTTGTCAGTAATTTCAGTTCCATTTAATTTAATTTTTTCAATAGTTTTTTTAGGTGCCGTTTTGCCGCAAACCTTGTTAATGCACTCCCACAAAGATTTGGAGGAATTTTGATTTTTTTGGATGATTTTTCTATAATAGTCCTTTTTTGCTTTTTTAACTAATTTATTTATATTATTTTTGTGCACGTTGTATTGCCTTTTTGTTTCTAAATTATCGGGATGTTTTAAGGTTAATTTGTACAATTTATTTTTTTCATCAATTAATTTTACTAATGTAGGATTCATCCAATTTTGTAATATTTTTATTTTTTGTTTTATATTTACTTTTTGTGTATTTTGTTTAATGTGATATTTAAGAGTATTAATAAATTTTAGAGTTATATTATCAACTTCCGTTTCATTGTATACCTGTTCCCATTTTTCCAATATTAAAGCATTTTTTAGTAATGGATAATTTATGTAATATTTGTACTTTAATTGCTGTTTTATCTTAATGCTGTTTTGTTCTATTTCCAACGTAAGGGCTATGGGACAGTGATCTGTAATATTATATCTAAAAATATATGATTTAGCTTCAAGCGTGTTGCGATTAGATACATAAAAATGATCCAAGCATGTTCGACTAGGTAAACGAGTGTATTCGTTAATGTATGAAATGTATCCAAAAGAGGCCATTATATTTTTGTATTCTTCTACTGTTTCATCATTGCTGTTTAATAAGTCTATATTTATGTCACCTGTTATAATGCTTATATCGTGTTTTTTTAATGAATTTAAATAATTGATTAGATTCTGATTAAAAATTTTTAAACAAGTACTAGGTGATCGGTATATGGATTTAATTTCAATTTTTTTATTTTTTGCTGTGACTAAGATAGAAATTACTTTAATATCCCCAATATATTCAATATTTAAAAACTTTTTTTTTCTATTTCTATAATTTTAAAACCACCAAATCTTAAAAATTACATTAAACTTAAAAAAACCATCAGGCAATTAAAACTAAATAAATATTCTAATTTTACTTACTAGCTCTCCCTCGAAATATTTCGTTGTAATCCTTAACATTAGTAATATCCGCGGAACACTCTTCTTCCGGATCAGTACCGGACGTACTTTCTTCTATTGTCTTCACATCTAACATCCTACTTTTCAGACTTGGCGGCCTTTCGGCTTTCGAAAAACTTTTCCTAATATTCTGGTTAGGCAGAAAAGGACTCACATGCGAGTCTAATACTGAAGAAGATGAGAACGGTTTGCATTTTTTTAGATCGACTACATAGACTTGGACGTTCGTGAGATGAAAAGAGGCACCAATCTAATAAAGATAAAAAAGAATATTATTTTTAGAAAGTATGTAAATGTAATTTATAAAATATAGTTAATTAATTAATTATTGTCATTTATTGAACTGAAAATTCAGTCCAATAGGCTATCGACTGAAGTCCTTTTGCCTATATATAGTTAATTCATGACTAAACATCAACATTGAGTTCTATATTTAACTATAGATTATCAGAATAAGTTCGTCACTAGACAATCAGATGCATTGTATTCTCGGTTTTCTTTCTTTAAGTAACATGCATATTTTTATGAACTATGCAAGCTTCTGGCTTTTCTGTCACACCAACATGATAATATATTAGGTACTTTACAATGATAAAGGAAGTGGATTGATGTTACCTATTTTTCATTGTAGAATTTGTTCAAACAGGGACTCGACAGTGTCTGGACAACATACCTAATACTATACTTACAATTTGACGATGTTGATCTATTAGTTGTATTAATACAGAATAATAAGTTTCTATTTAATATATTTTGACTTACCAATTGATTAGAAGCTACGGAAATATCGGATACTCGTCCCCAATACACCGGCACTGAATCATAGAGTCTATTTGGCTCCCATCCTACAATTTTCAAGTAATCTCTACTTCCTGTAAAAAGACATTCACCATCCGTGTTGAAACACAAACACCTAAAATAAACAAAAAGAAGTTATGTTTTACTCAAAAAGAAACTTCATATGTTAATAAAAATAAATTAGAAAAAAATTTGTTTTATTTTAATAATACTGATATAAATTTGATCTAAAAAACAAGTTTAAATACACATTTTTAAAGTATTATTTGTTTTCTAATTAGGTTTTATTTAAAACCACTAATACTAATAATACATCTAAATAAACACAAAAATAATTCATAATATTTATATGTGATATATTTCGCTTTCTTGGCAACAATATAAAATGCGTCCCATATAAAGATGCATATGAGAGGGCAATATTACTGTACGAACAAATCTTAAATATCCTTGACCTTTTTTAAGTTATTAAGGAAAAAAAATATTGATATTTTTGGTTTTTTAGCTCTAGAATTTTTATTTATTACAACGAATTGTCAAATTAGTTTAAATTGTTATAAGCAGAAGGATCGTATAAAAATACAATAAAAATTATTCAACCTGAAGGTGTCTCCACAAAAACGAAACAGTCTGTTACCAATTTTAATATGTTATTTTCAAGTGCTTAGGAAACCAATGCAAAATGTTTAAAAGTTTTCAGTAAACCATAAGATAAACATTCAAGAGCTACTTTGGTTACTTTGGAAGATAACGAGTAGTTTTGGACCACACAAAATATGACTCGTACATTACAGCATGTTGCTTGCAATTTCATTGCTCGCCTTTTTTTTGTGACTACTGCGCATGCCTTCCAGAATGTTCATTGCACGTTTGCTGCAATAAGCAGGCAAGCAAAAATATAGAAAATAACATACCACACCTATAAAAATTACTTAGACAAATTAATAAAAAAAGCTAAATACAATTACTATAAAAACCAAATCAATAAAAACAAAAATACTCCAAAAAATCTATGGAATGTAGTCAAAAACATTTGTGTAAATGACAGAGAGAAAGATCCCAAAGAAATAATCACAAACAATGTAATCTGTAATATCCCCGCGAGCATTGCAGAAGCTTTCAATTAGTTTTTTATTAATGTTGGTAAATCATATGAAAAACAAATTAAAAAGCCTAATACACCAAAATCAAAATTCACTATTTTTATTACCTGTGAATGAAAAAGAAATAATAACAATAATTAAATCACTAAAACTTAAAAAATCTCCAGGATATAATAATATCAAATCAGAAGTACTTAGAAAAATCTCAGATATAATATCAAAACTTATAAGGCATATCATAAATAGAATTTTTATTACAAGTCCAGTACCTCAAGAATTTAAAATAGCGGTTATTACGCCGGTACATAAAAAACGCGATAACAAAAAATTAAATAACTATAGACCAATCTCAGTCATAACATCTCTCGCTAAAATATTTGAAAAAGCCTTAAAAAAGAGTTGTTAAATTTTTAGTAAATAATAAGGTAATTTCTGAAAAACAATTCGGATTTAAAGAAGGTTTATCAACTAATGAAGCCATATGAGAATTTGTAGATAACATCTCAACGTTTTTAGAGAAAAGTAACCCAACTTTATGTGAATTCTTGGACCTTGCTAAGGCCTTCGATACTGTGTGTCATACTCAGATGTTACAGGCCTTGGAGGATGCAGGAATACGTGGAGTACCCAATGAATTATTTCGAAACTATCAGAACGCTTACAAGTAGTAAAAATTGATATCACAAGTTCAGAAAAAACTTTTAGTTACGGTTTACCTCAAGGAACTGTTCTGGGACCAATTTTATTTTCTATTTATATTAATGTAATGCTTACTTCGGTTTCTAGTGGAAGAATTATCAGCTTTGCAGTTGACACTGCTATCCTATATACTAATAAAACAAGGAACGATTTAAAAATTAAAGCCGAAAATTATTTAGAATAGATATTTGACAGGTTTGGTTATCTGTCACTGATTATAAATTATGAAAAAACATTTTATTGCCTACCAGAATATAAAACAATAACGATACAAAACTCCTTACAAAATATTATAAACTCAAAAAAAAATTATAAATATCTAGGAGTGACCATAGATTCGCATTTACAAGTATTAGAAATTAAAAATTTTAAAAAACCAACATCAAAAACGTGCAGATGCCATCACCACATCTTAACCAAATTTATATGGGACCACCCCTGAGGTACCTCCTTATTATAAAAAAAAGAATCATATAAATCGGACAAGGTGGTAAAGCATTATCGGTAAACATACATAAAAAATGCAAGAGTTTGAGGATTTTCTCATGGACCCCATTAATAGATTTTGACCAAATTTATATGGGACCACCCCTGAAGTACCCCCTTTCTAACAAAAAAAGAATCATTGAAATCGGACTCCGTGTTAAAGAATTATCGCTAAACATACATAAAAAAAATATATCGCGACGAATTGAGAACTTTCTCCTTTTTTGAAGTCGGTTAAAAATGGGATATTCACGTGAATATATACCAACTAAAACTCTAAGACAGTTATTATACTGTTTTAAATACTTAAAAAATATTTTAGATTTACAATACTTAAAAATTTTATACAGGGTGTTATTGAAATACACGTACATATTAAAACTGGGTATTGCGCAGATCCCCACTGAATGTAGAAAAATATTATTTTTTAAAAATACCTCTTATTAAGGGAGTTATTAATTTTTGAAAATTAATTCTAAAACAAACGTACTTCACTGATATGTTGAGGATGACCTATATAAATTAGGTTTATTTACCTATTTTAAACATCAACAGTAATTAATATGCAAGTTTTTGTCAGATGATAAGAAAACTAGTCTTGTAAGAAATAACCATGTTGCCAAGATTTTCGAATTAATTTCTATTTCCGAAGACTGGTTTTTACTACCCTCGTTATCAAAAAACTAGAATATTTGATAAATGATTGTTTTTAAACTATACATTTTTGAAACTATAGATTATTAAAATTTTAGTTGATTTACGAATCTGGCTAACACGAGCGCGTCATTTCCAAGTTGGTAAAAAGTGTTGTTACGATTACTTTTAAATATTTTTTTACGATGCCACTATTTACGAATATTGAACTAACGGATATAGTGCTGGTTTATGGGGCAGCTGGAGAAAATTCTCGGCAAGCACAAATCCTGTATCGCGAACGGTTTCCAAATCGGAGAATTCCGGACTGTCGTACGTTTATTTCAACTGTTCAGCATCTAAGAGACCATGGAAAATTTGAGAGTGTCAATGCAGATCGAGGGAGAACAAGAACACAAAGAACATTGGCGACCGAAGAAGAAATATTGGAAGCTGTTGAAAACCGGCCTCAATTAAGTTGTAGAAGACTAAGTCTTGAAATTGGAGTGTCCTCATTTGTTGTGTGGCGGACACTTAAAGAACAAGGTTTACATCCTTATCACATCCAAAAAGTCCAGGCCTTATATCCAGGTGATGAAGAAAAGAGAGTGGAGTTTTGTGAATGGATGATTCAAAAATGTGTTGATATTCCTGATTTTCTAAAAATATTATTGTATACTGACGAGGCTTCATTCACTCGTGATGGCGTGTTCAATATGCACAATACGCATATTTGGAGTGATGAAAATCCTCACGCCATTAGGGAAACTGGGCATCAAAGAAAATTTTCAATAAATGTTTGGGCTGGCATAATAGATCAGTATTTAATCGGGCCTTATGTTCTCCCGAACAGATTAAATGGGCCAGGATATCTCCACTTTTTAGAAGATATTTTGCCATTACTCCTAGAAGAGATACCGTTACAATTAAGGCAACGGATGTGGTACCTACTAGATGACGCTCCTCCTCACTTTGATTTAAACGTACGGCAGTTTTTGAACATTAGATTTCCTCAAAAGTGGATAGGCAGAAATGGACCTACTAAGTGGCCTCCGAGATCTCCGGACTTAAATCCATGCGATTTCTTTTTGTGGGGTCACATGAAACAACTGGTTTATAATGAACCTATTAATAGTGTTGAACAATTAACCAATAAAGTTAATGCGGTAGCCGAGGAACTACGACAAAATCCAAGACTAATTTCTAATGTTCAAAGTTCTTTGGAAAGACGATTGCAAGTGTGTGTAAATAATAATGGACGGCATTTTGAACAATTACTGTAATAAACTTTATTTTGAATTAATTGGTTTTGCTACGGCAACAGTGCAATTTCTATGGGTAAGTTCAATTTCGATTTATTTTACTTCTTTAAATATGGAAACTAGTAGGTCGGAAAAGGGGACTCTTCCCCAATATTTAAATTTTAGAATTTGAAGTTAAAATTGGTGCCAATCGTTTTTGGTCATTACATACTATTCCCCATTTTAATATGTACGTGTATTTCAATAACACCCTGTATTACGTTCTAGTTAAATCAAGGTTAAGGTATGCCATAATGAGTTGGGGAGGTACAGCATATTGTCATCTTAAACAACTTGGGGTAAGTTCGGTTTGGAACTCGACGGATCGGACAGAGCGCGCACGGAGTGCGTGACGTCATAGACAGAGTTCACTCTTTTTAGAATCGCAAGACGAACACAAGGGGAATGACAAATGACACTAGTGATAGTTTGCACTTGAATACACTTTTGTGTGTGTCTATGGACAGTAAAAAAATAATTTTAATCAAATAGGAAATAGTTATAACCACATACTTTGATTACTATACGAGGCAAGAGAGAGGTCCGACACGCCCAACATAGGGCGCGGCCATTTTGAACCCTGTGACACAGTTTACAGCTAAAGAATCAGATCGCTCACTCTGCGTCGGCACTTTGGATCTCAATGTTTCAGTTTATACACTGTGCAACTCGGATAATACAATATATGACAACCGCCTATAATAAAACAGCAGTCTTCTGCGTATCCTGAATTTGTATCCCTGGAGTGGATGTTATTTTGGAACTTTCAACTGGTCCTAGTGAGCTAACTGATTCTTTAGCAATAAACTGTGACTTCAAAAATAATATTCACTGACACTGACAGCAGCAAGCAAAATATCAGGTGCGTTTTAATCATCCGCTTCTGCTTCCGGAATTGTCGGTTTAGTCGTTTTAACCTGTCAGATTAAAACAAGAAAACTGACAATTGCGAAGCAGAAGCGGATGATTAAAACGCACCTATTAAAAATATTGCGCCAAGATGTAGGCAACACGTAATAAGGGTTCAAAATGGCGGAGTTTTCTATCTCCTTTTAAAAGGCACTCAGAAAGCTGCGCAGTGCGACCATTCTCCGTATAGTAAAAGAAGAAAATCAAAGTATGTGGTTATAACAGAAACAAACCAGAAATATTACGTGTAAAACTGATTAATCACCGATCAGAATATTGACATTTGACATTTTTAGGTTTGTTCTGGTTCTCAAAATGAAAACTGTTTTGAAACTGCGCCGGACCGTATGCGTAAAGGCAAAAAATCCCCGACTGTTTGAAATTGTTGGAAAACCAGAACACATAAAGGTGTTTTGTTTATTGTTTATTATAATAATGAAATTCCTTTTGAAAGCTCAGCTTCAAATAACATTTGCATGTATATGTTTATCATTATAATCACATTTCAACGGAATAAATAAAAACAGAATAATATTAAAAAATTAATAATTCTAAAATTGCTTTAATTTACAAATAAAACAGAACAAGAGACATTCGTCCACATATAAATAAACAATTTGGGATTGCATACGTTCCGTATGGTCTAAAAAGCCAATACAATATTCATAACACTTAAAAAACGCATGCGCGGTCAAAACAGTCCGAGTCGATCCACACTCCCAAGCATGAACACATTTTGACTACTTACAACAATCACGGATTATTTCGGATACGAAACCAGAACACTGGACTGAGAGGTCCGAAGTAGTCCCAGAAAAACCAGAACACTTTTTATCTACTGCGCATGAGCCCGACAGTTGTGGATCGTTATTTCTCAAAACCAGAACAGACCTTTTGACACATTCCTACAGATACCCGCTGATCTCCATCGGCCAGCTCGGGGAAGAGTGAGCGCGCTCTGAGTACGTGATCTGTGGCAAACCGAACACAAAAGAGTACGCTCTGAGTGCCAATGCGACCACAATTGAGGCATACTGAGTGCACTCTGAGTACAGCGAACGCCAAACCGAACTCAGCGTTGATGTACTACAAAAAAGAATTTTAAAAATAATTTATAACAAGAAAATTACTTACCCATCTAATAAATTATTATTAGAAATCGGAATACTAGATATTAGGCAAATGTTGCTACATGAAATTATTCAATTTATTTATAAAAATAAAAAATGGTTTGAAAAAGTTAATCATGACACACACGGTACAAAGAAAATAATAATATAAAAATTAAGCCAGTACAAAAAATTATTAGCTTACGATGTGATACTCTTCTGTCACGGAAAATTTATAATGATCTGCCTGAAGTTTATAAAATATATCTAGACAAAATAAACTCTGCAAATATGATAAAAAATACATTATTAATTTAGGTAGGCTCGAAACAAGAAACTTAATTGAAAATAACACCTAAAGAAATTCTTCTCTTCGCTGCCGCCCCCCCCCCCCCCCCAAACAATCTGTTGTTTTTTTCTATTCCTTAATATATTTTTCTGTTTTAATGCATTTGTTACAATAAATATTATTTAATGTACAATCTTCGAATAATTATTATTAACGTTAAATTAATTTTTATGCGTCTTAAGTGTAATATACAAATGGGGGGTCCATGAACAGCCCATGTTGGTTTCAATGGACCTAGATCGCTCTTAATTTGTTTATTTATAATATATGTTATAAAACTGTTTGATATGATATGATTGTCCAAAAAGCTAAATAAACATTATTATTATTATTATTATTATTATTATTTATAATTTTCAAGGTCAATTGCGTGCAATTTTGGTAACTTTTAGGGACTTTTTATGAAAGCAACCTAAAATTTGTAACAAATTAATGTGGTACACATGATAATAAAAAAGACGAAAGTAGTTGGTGGTTGGTATCAATGCTTTGTTGATCGTAGAAATGACAAGCAAACTTTGTTCATCCTTTTCCTGCCTCCATTTTGTTTCTTTATTGTGAGTCTTGTCTCGAGTCTTTCTATGCTTGTATGTAGCAGACGCGCTTGTTTTAAATCTTTTGTGTGTTTATTTGGTTTTTTTTGAGTTCAGTTCTTTCATTGAAATAGACAATTTGGTTTTTATTATTATAGTAATTTTGTGTGTATTTGGTATTTGTTTTTTATTGAGTTCAGTTTTTCGTAGTAAATTTGTGTACTTATTTGTGACTATATCTACAAAATCTTTAAGGTAACTATTTTTTTTTCTCATGAATATGTAAAATAAAATTTATAGGTTCCAATTTTTTTTAAAGTTAATTTATTTTAGCATGAGCAAACAACAATGGACCAGTGAAATGACTTCACATTTAATTCTCTTGTATAAGAACTATCCCTGCCTGTATAAAGGTAAATCCAACAAAAAAAACAGGAACCAAGCTTACCAGGATATTACAAGTGGCCTAAGAAATGTAAACCCCTGTATTGAATTTACCAAAGCCATGGTAACAGCCAAAATCCACACGCTACGAACCCAGTATACTAGCGAAAGAAACAAAATAAGGAAGAGCGAATTAAGTGGTGACGAAATTTATATTCCAAAATTATGGTGTTTCGAAATGCTAAGGTTTTTAGATGATGCTGAGGGCATAGTTGAAGGACAATCTAATCTTGATCCAGTCAACACTGTGAGTAGACTATTGTTTTCAGGTTTCAGAATACTGCATAAAACTAAATTAGGCTGTAAAAGCATGTTTTTAATTAATTTTCAGTACAATTTTAATAAAAAAAGTTAAAATTATGTAATTCGACTAAATTGTACATGTATGCATGAACTTTTAAAAAATTCCAACATAGTTTTGTAAAATCGCATTGTTTTTTACAACATATCAATTTTTTTTAGGAAATAGAAGAGAAAGGTGATGTACTGTTGGAGGGCAGTGTTGATGATGCTCCAAGACCATTTACACCGGATTTTGAAGTAAATGAAGAAAGACCATCATCATCTGTGCCATATACAAATAAAACACCAGACAGAACACCTGATTCAAATAACGAGACCACTGTATATAAAAAAAGAGAAACGCCTGTTTCAAAAAAAAGAAAATTGGAGGATAAACGATTCTCTAATGTAATGGAAAATGCAACAAAAACGCTCAAAAAGATAAAGCTGTTGACACATAATGACACAGTGCTAAATGACTTTTCACAGTAAGTAATGTGACCAGTACACCAACAAACTTCTTCACAATGTTTTGTTTACGCCATTTTTTTTATTAATATTTTTATTTGTAGATATTTGGCCAATGAGATGAAAACTATACAAAATGAAGACATTTTAGATACCCTTAAATCAGATATCATGCATCTAGTAATAACTGCAAAAAGAGAGTATAGGGCCAAATGTTGTGAATAGATTTTTTAGTAGTCATAAATATACATTTTAATTTGTTTTATTTTTTATTTATTATCTCAAACTAATGTATATATAAAATTGTTTGTCCCGACTGACTGACCTATCAGCGTACAGCCAAAACTACTGAGCCTAGAAAGCTGAAATTTGGAAGATAGGTTTGTTTTATAACGTAAGCATCCGCTAAGAAAGGATTTTTTGAAATTTTAACTTTAAAGGGGGGATATGGGAGGAAATAGGGGGAGGGAGCTTTTAATGAAACTCTTTGTTCTTTAAAGTTAGAAACATGAAAATTTAAATTACAGCTATTGAGCATAAATAAATAATGACGAGTTTCAGGGTTTTTGGATTTTTACATTTTAAGGGGGGAAAACGGGGGGTAAAAGTTTATTTGGAAATATCGATTTTTTTTTTATTGAAAATTGGAATTGTAGGTTCTCATCATAAATATTGAAGTGTTTCATGGTTTTTGGATTTTCACATTTTAAGGGGGGAAAACGGGGGTAAAAATTAATAAAAATAAATATTAATAAATAAAAATTAATAGAAATTAATAAAAATTAGTAAAAAATAATAAAAATTATTAAAAATTATTAAAAATTAATAAAAATTGGATATACAATGTGTTATGCTTTTACTTGGAAAGTAAAAATATATATTTGTTAAATGAAACACTGTATTTTATCTCGGTTTTAAAATTCTTAGGGAATACTGTATTAAACCCAAGAATATTTTTAAAAAGTATTACAGGGTTGACTAGCAATTATATTTTTGTGATATAAATTGATACAAACCCCAAATAAAATTATCAGAATTTAAATAGCTTATTAATGAGTTGAACATTATTTAAAATACAAGCTTATAAAATACCAAACTAGCGAATAGACATGATAGAACTAGTTTATTTTATACAGAGGGTCTTGAAACATCTCATAAATATGGCTCATTCTTACTTCATTTTACCCAATTTGAATGCAACACCCTGTATATCATTTTGGTATTATATTGATTATAAATTTCTAAAGATACCATCATGTTAGCCTATTATACATATACAGGGTGTTTCATCAGTAGCTGTTTTATTATTAAATATAGAAAAACATTTTTAAGTTGTATGATCATATTTTAAAATTATTCCTAACTATACAGGAGAGTTTGTTTAATGTACAAACTTATAAGATACTAGGCTAACGAATAGTGGTGATAGAACTGGTTTATTTTATACAGTGTGGCTAATTTTAAGCAAATAAATTGGTTCTATTAAAATTGTTCGATGATGTGAAAACGATCAAATGTGTATAACTATCTGCAGGGTGTTTTGTTTTAAAAATGTATAGGTTTGGTCAGCCCCTCGTTTGTGGATAACCCTGTATATTTAAGAATAATTGTTAAATATGGTCATACAACTTTTATATAATTTTGTTTTTCGTATTTCTAATAATAAAACAGCTATAGATCAATTACGCACTGATGGGATATGTGTTATTGACTTACATATTGGTATCGTGGAAAAGGTAAATTTATAAGGAATTTTATGCTGAAATAATGAAATAATATACAAGATGTTGCATTTGAAAAATTTGAGTAAATTAAACTTAAAATTATCCATATTTCAAATCTTTCTTTAAAAAATATTTCAGTTCTATCACCACTAGTCGTTAGCTTAGTATTTTATAAGTCTGTATTTTAAACAATATCGAATTCATTGTAAATCTACCTAAATTATGATAATTTAATTCTGCATCATTCTCTAATTTCGTGAAAAAAGTGGATTGCTTGGCAAGTCTGTAATATTTAAAAAAAAATTCTAGGGTTAAATACAGTATTAATATTCCATCCTAAAACTGAAATAAAATACAGGGTGTTCTATTTAAAAAAATATACATTTTTATTTGCCATATAAAAACGTGCCACCCTGTATGTACAAAAATATTTTTCAAATACGTATTTCTTAAATTTATGTAACAATTATTTGAAACTTGTTTGCATGTCTATTACACAAATTGAAATATTGAAAATTACACACTAATGGGACAATTTCGTTTTCATTAATCACATAAATTTTTATAGAAAGCTTCATTTTGCTGTAATTACGATTTACGATGTAAATTTTCCACAAAGAGCATTAAAATTATAAAACCTGTACCCAAACCAAGCTATACTTAATATTTCAAGTAAATAAATTAATAATTTTTATCTACAACCACCCCAGTAAATCGCCTATTATGTACCGTTTTGTTTATAAGTAAATACATCATTACAGATACTGACGTAATGAAATTCAAAACTATTACGTATAATATATACAGTGTGGAAACCACTTATGGAATAAAATTCTTTATGTCATTATTTTAGAAAATTATAAAAAATGCCGAGACATGTCAACTTTTGAATTGAGTTGTGCGTTATGTAAACATAAATTTAAATGTACAGGGTGATTCACGCAAGTATGCCATAGTCGGTGTTGTTTTTTTTTTAATGAAACACCCTGTATATTTGCATACGTACATTATTCAGTTTGTTGGAATCGGTTCATTAAGAGGATTTCAAAAATATGCAAATATACAGGGTGTTTCATTAAAAAAAAAACAACACCGACTATGGCATACTTGCGTGAATCACCCTGTACATTTAAATTTATGTTTACATAACGCACAACTCAATTCAAAAGTTGACGTGTCTCGGCATTTTTTACAATTTTCTAAAATAATGACATAAAGAATTTTATTCCATAAGTGGTTTCCACACTGTATATTACATAACAGTTTCATTTATCAAACTACCCAAATTAGTCCGTTGCTAGGTGATCGCCATGGTTACGATTAATAAGTTTTGACATTTCAGAAATATAAAATCGCCATTTTTGTAGTTACAGCATTATTTTTTTAAATGAATATGATTTCGTCAGATAGCGAAAATGAATTTCAAGAAACTCCACCTGAAATTCTTGAAAAAGCTGCCAATACCACTGAAAAATTACTGCCAACAAAATCAAGAACAAGGTATGAAATAGTATACCAAAAGTTTATGGACTGGCGTATAAACAAGTGTAAATTAAAAATTTAAAAAAACCGACTTCAAAAACGTGCAGATGCCATCACCACATCTTAACCAAATTTATATGGGACCACCCCTGAGGTACCTCCTTACTAACAAAAAAAAAATCGTATAAATCGGACAAGATGGTAAAGCATTATCGCTAAACATACATAAAAAATGAAGAGTTTGAGGATTTTCTCATGGATCCAATTATTAGATTTTGACCAAATTTATATGGGACCACCCCTGAAGTAGCCCCTTTCTAACAAAAAAAGAATCATATAAATCGGACAAGGTGGTAAAGCATTATCGCTAAACATACATCAAAAATGAAGAGTTTGAGGATTTTCTCATGGACCCAATTATTAGATTTTGAATAAATTTATATGGGACCACCCCTGAAGTACCCCCTTCCTAACAAAAAAAGAATCATTGAAATCGGACACCGTGTTAAAGAATAATCGCTGAACATACATAAAAAAAAAAAAAAAAAATATCGCGACGAATTGATAACCTCCTCCTTTTTTGAAGTCGGTTAAAAACAAGATTAATTCATTTTCTGAAAATGTGCTTTTGGCATATTTTGGGGACCTAATGGAACAATTTAAACCTTCATCAATATGGGCAATATATTCCATGTTAAGGACCGTCATTTCCATAAAAAACAACGTGAATATTGAAACATACCCAAAATTAAAGGCATTCTTAAAAAGGACAATCGGAAGGTTTTAAAAGCAAAAAATCAAAAAAATTTTCTTCTGATGAAATAAGTAAATTTTTAAATGAAGCTCCTGATTCACAATACTTATTAACAAAGGTTTGTATCTAAAGCAATTTTCCTTCAGTTAATTTAGTATTGGCTAGTGATTTTACTTTTCAATATTTTATTTAAGGTGATTCTAATTATTGGAGTTTGTGGCGCATGTAGGAAACAAGAATTAAAAAATTTACAAATCAAGGATATAAGAGATGTTGGTGACATACTGATTATTGAAATACCTGATTCAAAAACTAAGATAAGCAGGTCTTTTGTGATTAACGGAACCTTTTATCAAATATGCAAACAATATATGCAACATCGCCAGCAAGTGCAAAATCTTGATACAAATCAATTTTTCATAAACTATCAAAAAGGAAAATGCACCAAACAAGTGGTCGGTATAAATAAAATTGGAAATGTACCCAAACAAATAGCACAATATTTAAACTTGCCCAATCCCAATTTATACACCGGCCATTGTTTAAGAAGAACTTCTGCCACAATTTTAATTGATGCAGGTGGTGATTTATTCGCATTAAAAAGGCATGGAGGCTGGAAATCCTCAACGACTGCTGAAGGATATGTTGATAATTCATTAAATAATAAAACTTTAACGGCTCATAAAATTATCCAGTCAATTGAAAAAACAGATTTTCCACCTAGCACATCAGAAATAAATGAGAATATTTCTACTTATAATATCCTTCAAACCATAAATAACAGCAATCAAATAGAGTCTAATTCCTCTGCACCATCTACATCATCTCTTTCAGTGCCATCTACTTCTTATAAAATACCTCAAAATACTAACGAACCCATAATTATTCAAAATTGCCAAAATTTTACCGTTAATTATTATTCTAAGAATCAATGATATGTTAATGAATTATTGTATTTAATAAATGTTATAGATTATGAAAGCTTTTTTATTATGAATGTATGAATGTGGTTGTAGATAAAGTATAGTACATAACTCGAGTTGTAAGAGCAATTACATGCGAGTAGAAAAGTTGCACACGAGCCGCGTTAGCGGCGAGTGTAGTAATTCTACGAGTAGTAATTAGCTTCTTACTACTCTTGTTATGTAATATACTATTAAATTAAATGATTTCAAATGAATATTTTTTTTTGTTTTACATTTCTCTAGGTATTTTTTTTTCTAATACTATAAATTATCTTTCTTTTTAGATTGCTGTATCCTGTTAGAAAAACCTGGCTAGCTATTTTTTGAATATTGTGCCGGTTTGACCTGGTTGGTAGATTTGTTTTCAAATAAGAATCGCCAATTTTGTTATTTGCATTGCCTATAGAATTTTGGCAGACGTTTATACCATTAATAGTAAAAAGTGAGGGGCACTTTTCTAAAAACATTTACACATTTTGTTTTATTTTACCTCTAGCATTAAAAAATATAAATAAATTATTAAGCGAGACACTTTTCTAAAAACATTTATATATTTTGTTTTATTTTACCTCTAGCATTAAAAAATGTAACTAAATAAATTATTAAGCTATAAAATAATGTAAATAATAATCCTACCTTACTGCCCCTACATCACTTTCAGTTGATACTACATTAAAGTTTTCCAAATCGAAGAAATTAACTGATCTATCTATGCTACCACTGGCTAGTAAGAATTCATGAGGATGGAATTCCACACAGGAGACGGGATTGATGTGATCTTTAAATTCTTTTAATACCCTATTGACTCGTAGATCCCAAATTTTGACTGACGAATCTTCTCCTCCTGTAGCCACCCATTGGCCATCCGGACTGAATTTTACACTATTAACTGTACCTGTAATGAAAATAATATAGATGACTCAGTTTAGCGAAACACTCTTCTTTATTTATTTAACACACCACCCAACAGTGATTTTTGAATATAAAGACTGTAAATATATAGTATTATTAGCAATCCAGGTGTCAATGTCCATGAAAAAAATCTGTTGTTGTATGAGAAACAGGAAAAAATGGATATTAACATTGGATAGCTATTACAGGATAAAGTACTATATATGTTTAATTGACAATAATACCAATAACTAAACTAAGATTACACAATGAACTAGAATTCAGTAATACACATAAGTAAAAATTATAAAACATTAACCCAAAGTTACATGTTTAATTTTAAATATATTGCAAGCAAAAATATCCAAGCTGTCTTGAATGGTATGATACTCATTAATTGTTTGATACAGTGAAGATGAATTTAAAATAATGGTTCTTGCTGCTGGCAAATAAAAGCTAAAATACACCCTAAGCCCTGCGCGTAGTATTTTCAACTGAACATAATTAACCAAATCAATGCTGTCTATGTGACCATTAAGAACTTTCCAAAGTAATGTTATTTGCTGAAAAGTTCGACGTTTTGCCAGATCTGAGAATTTAAATTGTGTTAATAGCAGATCATGGGGAAAGCCTCTTGGGGGATATATACCATCTAATATAAAAGAAGCCGATTTCCTAAAATTTCTTTAAACTTTTTCGATTAGGACAATATATACATTTTGTATGGGACTCCATATCTGAGATGCATATTCAAGTTTCGATCGAACCAAGCTGTTATATAAGATTTTTAATGTGGACATATCTAAGAATTCTTTGCAACTTCTTATGACAAACCCTAGTATTTTATTGGCAGATGACACCATTGATTCAATGTGTTTAGTGAAGGTAAGTTCAGCGTCAAAATATACCCTCAGATCTCTTACAAACTCAGGCCTATTGAGAATAATATCATGCAATCTATAATTAAAAGTGAAATTAGTTAATCGCCTGGTAAAGGACACAACCGAACATTTTTCTGGATTCAATAGGAGTAAACTATCCTGACATCAATCCGCTATACCATCCAAATACTTTTGTAAAAGTTTGCAATCATTCGTTGAATAAACTTCCACTAATAATTTTAGATCAACTGCATACATTAAGACATTTATATCATTGATGTTTAGAACAATATCATTCAAAAATATATTGAATAAAAGAGGCCTCAAAATTGATCCCTGTGGTACTCCTGACAACTGCTGGAATTTTTCTGACTTATAACCGCAGCACTGGACATACTGATGTCTGTCTTCTAAGTAAGAAGTTAACAGCAGATGTAGCTCCCTGCTTAAACCTATGGAGGAAAGTTTTTTGAGTAAGATAGTAAATTCTTTCGAAAGCTTTAGAAAAGTCAGTGTATATTACATCTACTTGACTCTTTCTATCTAGGGCCTCTGATATAAACTGTGTGGAACAAATAAGATTTGTTACCGTGGATCTGCCTTTCATGAATCCATGTTGATCTAAGGATATAGATCGGGAGATATGATTTGATAAATAATCATTAAAAACGAATACTAATATCTTAGCAAAGTTACATATAATACTAATAGGTCTATAATTTTGAACATGATTTTTATTACCTTTTTTATGAACTGGAGTACACGAGATATCTTCCACTCACTAGGGTTAGTGCAAGATTTTATAATTTTATTAAAAATTGTATGTAGAGAATGTATGTACAATCTTTAATAATAAAGGCAAGTAGCAGGTCAGGCCCCATTGTCATATTTGGTTTCAAATTTTTAATAGCCTTGACAATTTCGTCTTGTGATATTGATTTTATGTATAGCGACGGAAAATTTGAAGTCAATTCATTTGCGTAGTTGGTAGATGCTGACTGAGAAGAACCATTAAAGAAATTATCTGCAAAAGCCTGGATGATTGCTTGTGGGTCTTCAATAAAGCAGTTTTTATACTCAACTGATGTTGGTATGGAGAATGAAGAATGTTTAGAATTCATATAACTCCAGAATTGTTTAGGAGCCGATGAGATTTCTCGTTTAATATTAGAGCGAAAGTTTTTAAATGTATTTAGTGCGTCTATCGACTGAATGGATTTATAGATTCTGTGGGCTTTTTCTTTTTGTCGAATCATGTGTATTATGTTACCATTAAACCACGGCGGATAAGTTCTAGGAATTCGTTTTCTTGATAGGATTATGTTCTCTAAAAATATCATATAGTTTGTTGTTCAATAACTGAATACTAATATCTATGTTAGATACATTTTGCAGAAAGCTCCAGTCGACATTGTTTATTGCATTGTAGAGATTTGGGAAATTTGTTTTTTTATAATTAAACTGCATATTATCTGGTTTAAAGGGCATTGGTGAATTTGTATTTTTTGTTGAAATTTCTATGCATAATGATGGATGGTAATCATCTTCATTTAATACTATTTCATCAGCTATGTAAACCTTGCATTCATTATTAAAGTAAACTAAATCCAATAAGCGTTTAAATTTATTCTTGACTAAATTGATCTGTTGTAAATTAAAGAAATTTACAAAAGTTTTGACAACATTTAGTTTGGTAGACATACTAGGACCATTTATCTGAGAAACGTACTGTGGTGTATTATAATCACTGATTACAAGAAGATTTTTATCATATAAAGTTGTAAATAGTGATAGTGTTTCCAGAACTACCTCATAATTATTAACTGAACTATGTAAATAAGCAAAATGTATAAACATTGGAAGCCTGGTTTTATTTTAATCAGTAGAAAATCAATATTGGTATTTGCGGGAATTGAAACACAGAGATCACTTATATTAATCATACTGGAATTTAGCTCCTTTTTCAGAGCACAGATAACTCCACCACCCCTTGAAAAATTCGTTTCTTCGTATTTCAGATCAATCCTATAAACATAGAAAGTTAAGAGATCAAATAGTTCTCCGTCGTGAATTGTATCGTTACACCAGCTTTATATAAAAAAATAACCTGCATATTGTGTAATAGCTTAAACACTGTCAAATAATTGGGTAGTTTTTGTTCGAAGGCCTCTGACATTTTGATAGTATAATATAAATTTAAAAGTTGAATTAATACAGACATGATTTTAGATGAATTAGTTGGTTGCTATTGAGATCCTATGCTATCTCTAAATTTTGTTTGTATTCTCTTATAGAAGTGACATTCTTTATCCCAAGCGACATGATCAACAGAAATATTTGTTATGGTTTGATTTGAGATTAGCACAATTTACACATTTCAAACTAGCAGAGTTACAATCTTTTATATCGTGATTGGAGGCACATTTGAGACATGTAGGGTCTTTTTTAAATCTACTACTCCGAAAAAGTCTTAATCATATTGCTATATGAACTTGCCCGAAAAGTACAACAAAAAAGAGATATTCTAAGGTATATTGGCGTTGATGGTAGAAAATTGGTAATAATTCATAGTCGCACAGGTACAAGCGAATGAACAAGCTAATGAAAGATTGCCACAATTTAAATACATCGGATATTATATTGTAGCAAAAGTTTGATCCATACAAATATTAAAATTCAGAATGGAAACAGTCCTCAATAACAACTCTAAACTTATAACTTCATCACAAAATAAGAATTACATCTGGTCTGTACTACTATATGGGTTTGAAGTCTGGACTTTAAAAGGTATCAAGATCAATTATTGAGTAAAAGACCATTGTTAAAGAGGAACAAGTAATTGGGTGAAACTGTTTTGATACTTTCGAATATTAGGCACATTTTGATTGGTAATTTTCAGTCTATGCAAAGGATTGTATGGCCTAAGAGCTACGTTTAACCGGCTACTACAGTAAACGCCAAATCTAAAAAACCAGCGCAAATGCTCAAGTTCGTTTACTTAAAAATCGCAACGCCCATTCACAATTTGAACCTTGTCCTTGCTTACGGTCAGAAGCATAACGACTAGATCATTGTTTCTTGTTTCTGTGTTTTGGTTAAAGTGACTGGTTTTATTCTTGATAATATCTTCTATTGTGGGTGAAAAAAAAAAGCGCAGATCTGTTATTAACCGACAAAGTTGTGAAGTAATATACAATGTTTTTAAATATTTTGACGCAACAAAAAAGGAAGGAGTTACTTTAGATGATATCAAACTTCAAACTGCACAAGCAACAGGTAAACATACTCTGTAGTTTATTTGCAATTAAACTTGCGTAGTTTTCCATATTTTTCTGTATTTTACGTAGACGGGACAAACTGGTCAACGGACAAAGGGCCACGAAAACGACAATGACGGGCCGTATGTTGTGGCCTGTTCTAGAGAATCTAAGACAAATCAACTGTAGTGTGTACCATTCTGAATTAACATTATGTCTATCGTCCAGTGCTACAGTGAAAACATGTTCAGTAATTCCAAAAAAGTGGCGGCTATCTTTTTGTTCCGGTTTTACAAACAACTTTTGTTGGAGCCGACTCTTTCTCAAATACTTAAACGATTGGTGCTTTTTTCTGGACCATAGCAGCAGAGCTGGGAGTATCTTAGAAAAAAAGATACTTTTCAGTATCTAAGATACAAGATAGTATCTTTCATGTGATGCAGAAGTATCTAAATTTAAAGATACTTTTTAAAAGTATCTGTATCTATTTTTAAGTATCTAAGATACTTTATAGGTATCTTAGATACTAAAAAGTATTTAAGATACTGTATAAGTATCTAAGATACTAAAAAGTATCTAAGATATTCTTCTAAAGTATGTAAGATATTTTTTAAAAGTAGTAAAGATACTTTGTGAAATAGACTTTTTTAGGTTGCGCGAAGGTCGCAAAGTCTAGCCACAAGTTCAGACCTGTCGATTATGCGCTGATGGTGAGTTGCATTGCAGAGGATTTCATGCTGTCAATATACTTGGAGAAGAACAAATCTCTTTGTGAATTAGCTAGGTACTCTGTATTTACTAGGGTTGCCAGACTTGCTTGTATGCTTTTTATTCAAATGCCATGCTTTTTAAAAGTCGCAGAGGAACCGGATTTATATAAAAATAGAGAAATGTCCGGGTAAAAGACCCTCGTTTTTACGAAAAATAAGCGGAGGACCTTTTTCTTTTTTTTAACGGCAATAAACCATCTTTAATCTATATGCATTCTCAATATTAAACTTAAGGATGTAGAATAGTCAAGTAAAACAAGAAGTTTTCTAGTTGTGGCATCTCACTGATGACCACAATTTTCAAAGAAAATCTGCAGCATTGGCTGTCGCAGATATTTCATAAGTATCTTAGCTACTAAAAATATCTAAGATACCTTATAAATATAAGTATTTTAGATACTTTTAGAAGTATCTTAGATACTAAAAAGTATCTTGGATACTTTTAGAAGTATCTTTTTCAAAAACCATCCTAGATACTTTCTGCGAAAGTATCTTAGATACTTTTTAGAGGTATCTTGTATCTAAGATATTTTTAATAATTAGTATCTTTTTCTAAATGTACCTTAAGATACTTTTTACAAAAGTATCTGTATCCTGTATCTAGATACTTTTTTAAAGTATCTTTCCCAGCTCTGCATAGCAATATATTGTTAAGATGATGGTGTACACCAAATTAGACGATCCACGGTCAAAGCCATCTAATGTAGACCTGCATCATCTCACACGGTGGTTCTTATTTCTCTTGTAAATTATTTATATCCGATTGGTTTTGAATATTACTACCCTTATTTAACTACTGACTTATCTGTTTAATTGTTGATTTGTTTACTTATTTTGTCTTTTGATTCAATACATCGTCAAGTTATTTAGCTTCCCAGGAACCACCGTTTCATCAGTTTTTTTTTTATTTAAGTGGTATTTATTTAATTTATTTGCTTATTTTGTATTTTGAATCAATACACCATTAAGTTATTTATACAGGCTACTGAAAGTGAGATTTACTATGGTACCTAGTCAAATATTTTAGTTATTGTAGGGGCCCATAATCTACGCATATTTAAAGCTATCAAACAACAAAAACCAATAAGAATAAATTCTAATAAATAATGGGAAAATAATTAACATTTTAAAAAACACACTTGTATGTATGTATTTATTTATAATAACAACCAATTTGAAACTTAAAATTTGAGCAGTTTAATTATCTGTTTAAAAATAAAAATTATATTGTTGAATTTTTTTGTACCATTTTCAAATATGGAAACGAATGATAAAAATCAGATTTACAGGGTGTTGTTTCGAGGATGGATAAATTTGTGAACTTTGGGCCGAACCGGATCTGTATTTTACAACCGGATCGGACCTACTCTTTATTATATTCGACAAGATATGACCGACAAATGCGCCAAACGTCAAAAAATCTACATGGTTGTTTCCAAATTATGAGGGAAAAATAGACAAACTTCAAACGGCCTATTTCTTGGTTATAAACACACAAAATTCCATTAAACAGTAATTATTTAGAATCACCTTGGAGGCGTCAATGTTTAGTGTATGTGCGAATCCCAATTAATCACCCTTGTACTTACGCAAGACTCTAATGATTCAGGTTAATTCAATCCAGCCTTCTGGTTGAAATTGGAAATACATCAAAGTACTTGAAAAGATTTTATAAAATTCACGAATTTCTTACCTTTGTGGCCATTATATGTAAACAACACTCCTTTCTTTCTAGTATCCCACATTTTAATACTGCTATCCGCACTCCCAGATACCAAAAAATCTCCATACGGATGAAAATCTATACATTTTATGGCATATTTGTGTCCATTTAAGGTGCGTACTAATTTTGCTGCTTCTAAATCCCATACCTAAAAAAGAATGTTTATTAAACTTAACACATTGGTGGACACGAACTGCTATAGCAGTCACCTCACATTTCCTTGGAGGGACGCGGAATGCTTGTGCAGTTCATTTTGATATATGATTAGAAGGTATATGAACTGCAAGAGCAGTTGTTTTCTGTATCCAAATGTATAGTTATGATTTGTGCGTCCCGCTAAGAGCAATATTTTTATTTATGTCGTGATTTTCAGATCATGGTGAGGACTTGTACTGTGCACGTTCGAAGATATTATTTACGCTTCAGTAGCAGATATGCTGTTCATATGGAAGTGATATTTGTGGTTTGCTTGTTACAATTACTTATAAGGCTATAAATTTCATTTTTATCACCACCAGATTTAAAGATTACTTAGTAGGCGTACATTTATACCCTCGATTTCGGATGTGTCCGCCAACGTGTTAACAAACGATGTGTTCTCAATATAGCATGGACTATTTTTTATAGTAATATTTTGGTTCCAACTTGAATGAAAAACATACTTTTATGATTTCTTAGAGTCTATATGGGAAAGCCGGAAAACAAACTAAAAAACAACATACTAACTACATCTTGTATATTTTTAAATTAGGTTAATATGTTATATATACATTTTTGTAACTATTAGGTTTTAAGTAGTAATTCACTAAATAAATTATGTTGGGATAAAGTATGGACCTGTTGATATAACTTTAAAATGGGATTAATTATTTAGCTGAAATTTTGAAGGCAAATAGTGCATTGACTGGACATTTTCAATGCTATTGATGATAATTTTAAATACAAAATCATGCATAATTTTACATATTCATCAATATCAATTGCCTTACAGGCAATTTGGAACAGTTTTATTGTCACAAATACCTGTCACTATTAATTTTAATTTTAAAAATTATGGATTGAAATATTGTTAGTGCTGATTGTATTAGAAATTAAAACTTATCAAGAAGTTATTTACTGATTTTGCCCCTGAAACGGAATCATATAGGAAGTTAATTTTAGTTGACAACTGTAGCTTTCTAGGAAGAATTGGAAGATTCACTTCAAACTTCAATGCTTATAAAGTCAGGCTGGACAGTTCTCCGACTTAGCTGACTAGCGATTAACCATCGACGCCGTGGAATGAATGTATGACGAATGGGGAGGAGTAGGGCATCCAAATAATGTGATTCAGTGCTGCCATGCGAACCCCAAGCCTGACTGAGGAGAGCCAGTGGTTAGACCCAAGCCAGCTTGGATGGGGTCTGTCGCAACCCCTCACAGGGGAGTAGAGAGGGATGCCTCAATGGGCGAAAAAAAGTCAGGCTGCGCTATACTAACTGTAATAGTGACGAATATATTTTACAACCAATTTGTATACTTAATTCAATAGTTGTTTATGAGATATATTTAAAACATTTACTATTTCAGGCAAATGATAATAAATGAATGTGATTTGATTCATACAGAAATCGGAAATACATATGGGTGTATGTAGCTTATTGATTTGTTTATACACCTGCATACTACCTAATATTTAGTGGTCTGCTTTATAGGTTCACATTTAAAAAGAAAGTAAATAAAAATGTGTTTTTTTTTGAGAATTGTGTAATTCTTGTTCCACTAACAAAAAAGGCAAACGTTTATCTCTCTCATTTGAGATAAAGGTACCAAATCTGATATTTATAGATACAGATAAAAATTATTTTAAGCATGCTATAGATACAGCTGATATAAATGGTAGAAAACAACATTTATAATTAAAATACAAATATAAACAAAATAAAACATTTAAAAGGAAAACAGCAGTATACCAGGGGCTCGATTCTCGAGATCATTGAAAAATTTTCCCATGACTCAAAACAGTAGAGACAGATTAATTCGTAGCTTTGCTAATAGATGACGCTACATTATTTAATAATATAATTTCAAAGAATCAGGACTGGATTCAGGAGTTTACTAATAAGCTCATAATTTCAGTTAAGTTGATTTTTATTCACCTTTTCTGCATTTTTTTAAAATTACACCTATTAAATACATTGTAAGCATAAAGGATATGTAAGTAACGTGGGAAAGCCTCGATATGGCCTAGATTTTGATTTTTGTAGTCCAGATAATGTCTGTATGTACGTATCTATGAATGTGGTAAAAATTTAAGTCAACTGTTTAGAAAAAAGTAATGCAGTTAAGTGTATTTATTATGAACTACTATTTTATTTATTTATTTTTTAAATATGAAGCTATTGTAAACTTTATAAACCTTGTAAACGAATAAATATGCCAAAAAATAAAATTAAGTCGTCAACAACTTACTTAGAAAAAACCTTCTATAACATAAACTAAAAAGTAAAGGGTGACACTTTTAGTTAGTCAGATTTGTACGGGAGTCTATTTACACGAAGCCTACAGTTATAAACCGTCAACAACTATATCAATGGGAGCTAACTACCCCCCAAGAAATCAACAAAGTAATTTCAGAGTTAAAATCGAGAAAAGCATGTGGTGCTGATGGTATCTCTGGGGACTTGATCTTATACATAGATTCCAAACTCAACTGGGAACGTCATATTGCACTGGAGTATTGGAACGTGTTGCCTGCTACCTTTCAGCTGACTTAAGGAAGACTCTGTATCATTTACTAATTCATTCACATCTATCATATTTAACTCTTATTTGCAGCAAAACTTCCCAAAATAGACTAAAACCCTTGCAAATTCTACAGAACAGAGCAATCAGAAAAGCTTTTCAACTTCCTATTTGTCATCCTACTGATCTTTTGTATCGTCCAAATAATATTCTAGACATTCAGTCCCTCTCTAAATATCAGACATGCATTTTTATTCATAACCTATCTCTGAATAATATACACCCATCCATAGACTGACTACTTCCCGTGATATCCATAGATATAATACTCGAAATAATCGCTGCTTCAGAACCACAGCCGTAAGAACATGCTTTGGTGACCGAAGCATACTATCTGATGGTCTAAGACAATACAATGAGCTTCCTAGCGCCATAAAGAACATAATAAAATTTTCCTAGTTGATATCTTCACGTTTAAGTAGGGTTTAAGTAATAGTGTGATATTAAATTACTGTATTTTTTTTTAAATTATTATTAGTTATTTTGTAGTAGTAACTAAGCAGGTACCGAATTCTTCTTCTGTGATATATTATAAAATTTATACCTTGTAAGACCCTCATAGTCTTAAGCTCTGGATCTAAATATACCAAATTGTATTCTTTTTATTAATAAACTTGATGGAACCTTATAATATTTAAAACCTTATGGGCGTTAGTACCTTTAAAGCTCCAGCTCTCGATCCTGCACATACTAGTTCTTCCAGTTGATTAAATTGGACACAATCTACAGCTGTCGTATGTCCACTCAGGCTCATAAAACAACTCTGCTTACCTACCGCCCACAAGTTTACTTTCTTATCGTCGCCTCCGGTGACCAAGACTCTGCCAGATTTGTGTCCTAGTGCTAAACAGTTGACGTTTGCATTGTGAGCCATGAAATCTTCTGCAAAATAAAATTAAAAAAAAAAAACAAATCTTAGTAAAGAAAGAAGGAAAGTATAAACTAATTCAAATAACAGTTTTCTTAAATGTTTATTGGACTTTAAATTATTGTGTGAAAAATTTCTGTATGTAATTAGGTATTTAAATATAGGGCGTCTCAGAAATGTTTTCGTTTAATAATTCGTTCGCTGGCGCAATAGGCACATTCCTGAGAAAGAAGACAGTTGATAAACGGTGATCGACAGTGATGTTTTAGTTACAATGGAGCAATTTACGGGGCTGCGCTGAAACGTGCTTTTTGTATTCGTGTGTTTTATAAAAACAATGATTCTTATATGCTTGTACGTCGTTTGTACAGAAATCATTATAATTAACAGCAAGAATGAAAGATATCCCAAGTGCAAATTTAATTTCCAGTAATCTAAAGCTTTCTTAACCAATATTTAATTGAATTTGCAGTTGGGACATCATTTATTCTTGCTATTATATTGATTTATGTACAAACGACGCCCAAAAACATAAGAATCATTGATTTTTTAAACTTACGAATACAAGAAGCACCTTGTTGTCCCGTAAATCGCGCCATTGCAACCAAAACTTAACACTGTATATCATCATTTTCTAACTGTCTCCTTTCCCAGGAATGTGTTTATTGCGCCAGCGGACGTATTGATAAACGAAAATATTTCTGAGACACCCTATATAAAACAAAATACAAATAAAAAAATACTTCATAGATACTGTCTCTATTAATAAATCTCATTTAGAATAATTAGATGGAATGATTTGAAATTAAATTAATACTTTTTGTTTTGTCATCATCAATCATATTTTTCATATTTGTACTCAGGTAGGTATGCTTGAGAATTTATTCAAATTGATAGATTCATGTAGGCGATTTCTAAAAATATATTAATAACAATATTCAACAGATTCAGCTGACAATTTTATAAATAATTACTTATTTCAGTTCAATGTAATTTTTGTACTGATTTCAAAAAATGTTACACTATTTTCTATTTTGGTCAAACAAATCAATTATTAAAAAAAACCAAAAAAGGTTGACAGCTGTGTGCACGTAGTTTAGATTCAAAAAGGAAAAACTTGTATTTCGTGCAAAACTTTTTTATTAATCAATGCAAAGCGCTTTCGGCTTATTTGCCATCATCAGTGCTCATTGTCCACAACGTATCCAACAAGTTCCTGGTCATCCTCACTCCCAAAATTATATATTAATATTAATAAAATTATGATTTAGCAAGTTGTAAACATCCCGAAATATATAATTTTGGGAGTGAGGATGACCAGGAACTTGTTGGATACGTTGTGGACAATGAGCACTGATGATGGCAAATAAGCCGAAAGCGCTTTGCATTGATTAATAAAAAAGTTTTGCACGAAATACAAGTTTTTCCTTTTTGAAATCAATTATGTCCTATTTTACAAGGTGTTTCACACATATACTAAGTAAATACCTATACAGGGTGTCCTAGTTTTTACTACTTACTATGTATATTTAGCAAAAAGAGTTTACTTGTACATCCTAAACTTATATATTCTACCAAATACATCAAATGAGGAATTTTAAATTCTGCTTGATGGAATTGAATCGCTATGTCAATTGTACAATAATAAATTATTGATTGTTGGTGATTTCAACATTACTCGATATGAAACATATAAATAATTTCAGTCGCAGTTAAATTTAACTAGAAAAATGTTATCCCTAACTAATTTTCAAGGTGTTTTCGGTTTATTGCAATTCAATGAGTTACGAAATTATTTTAATCGAATACTAGATCTGGTTTTCTCTAATATAAAATATTGTAAAGTAGAAAAAGCAGCTGACACACTTGTAGAATCCGATTACAATTAGAAGAACACAGCTACGTTACAACCATTACTTCGAATTTTGAATACATTGTATCTATAACAATTATTAAATGAAGAATAAGTAAGTTGTTAAGTATAAAAAATTATTTCCTATGTTCCTATTATATTAACACCCAGTAGGCCAATTAATTAATTTGCCAAATGATGACATAGCTGTGTTCTTCTACACGGAAAAAAATGTGGCTAGAAAATTTTACTACAATGTTGTAGTAGTAGACTTGTACTTAACAATTTGTAGAAAATTTTACTACAATTTATAGTTAAAAACTATTAATTATTGTAGCAATTGAATTTTCGAATAAAATGCTACAACAATAGGAAAGAAGTCCACAATGTTTAGTATATTTTACTATTGTTTGTAGAAGTAGAAATTTATTACAATTATCGTAATTACTACTACTAACTTCTGTAAAAATTTGTACAAATATTAATAATTATCTCTACAAAAAAACTAGTAATTTTCTCTACAAAAAATAGTAATACTTTACATCCCTTCTTCAAAAATATTCTATAATATTGTAGAAATTCTAAGTCATGTGAACAAAACAGAATTCTGCTATTGGCCAACGTTTTCTGACGTCGATCATAAACGGCCAGACAGCAGTAGCCGTTCGCCATGTTCACATAACAAAGCATGGTACATATACGAGTACCTATAACACATTATTATATTATAAGCACCGATGCGTTTGAGAAAATTTTAATAATAAATTCTATTGGTGGTAAGTACATTTATTATTGTTTCTGAATAATTTACCTTTAGATAACTAATTTAAATAACCTTAGTAGATTATTTAAAAAAAATAGTTGTGGCCAACGATCGAATGTTGTGTCCAACGATCGAATTTTGTGCCAAGTTCAATGTTTTTTGTCTTAATTGTGACATACCTACTTTCTCATTTTTGTTAGTTATCTGACTTAGTCATTTAATATCCAAATCAGTGTAAAGGTGATAAATATCCCCGTTTTAAGGGTATGAACAATTCAATTGGTATTAATTTTTATTTCATATTTTTCAGGTGCAGAAAAGCCAACTGAGACTGAGGGCGCTATTATTATTGTTATTTATTACATAATGTAATTAAGAATTTGTATCTTTTATATTAAAACAATAAATTGAATATTTTATTAAGGAACATTTTTTTCTAGGTTATAATTATAATAATTGTGGAATACTACTACAAATTTTATTAAAAATTACTACAATTTGTATGAATTTTTACTATTTATTGTGTAAAATTTTCGTATTTATTTTCATAAAACGCAATACATTTTTAATATAAATTCATACAATGAATAGCAACAATTATAACAATTTGTAGAACAATTCTTATGATGCATTTGGATCTTTTTACTAAATATTGTAGATAATAACTCTACAATACATTCTCCACAAATATTTGGAAATTTTTACTATAAATTGTCCCTGTCCCTATATGTACTATTTATTGTAGAGAAAAAATCTACAATTGTAGAAATTTCTTCTACAATTTTTTTTTCGTGTACTTGTAATCGAACCCTACCAATAGATCCTTGTTTAAATAAAACTGCGAATTTAATAAATCGGAAGTATGTGTGTCAATTCAATGACTGTTAACGAAATACATCTCCAAGATCCAACATTTACTATTATTTTTGAGGTTATGTTTATATTTAATTTTTTTCCAGTTTCTACAAAATAGTCATGTGTTTTATACCCAACTCTAAAACCGAAAACTGTGTAAATAGATACAATGTCATCGGTACTCTTTTATAGCAAAACCATCAAAATTAAGCGATGACTGAGTTCCATCAGGAAATAGGCTCTTATGGCAATGATATAAACTAATTAACTTTAAACAGATCTTAGATTGCAGTTGCCAGCCAAGAAAAATCATTGTATATTGTACCAGAAGGTATTTCACAAGTATGCCAATTTTATTTGAATAAGGATAATTTCTTGACCCTAGTACAATTTTGTATAATTGTTTTATTTTGTAGGTTGTCCATAATGAATTTGAAGTTATATAAATTGGTCCTATCTATAAATGCTAGAGAGGTACTGATAAACAGTGTCAGACCGATGAAACGGTGAGGATTGAAATCGAATGATGGTGTCGCATGCATTTACAAAAAAATGGAAGCTAAAGTTACATTACAGTTTTTTTTTAAAGACGATATAAAAAATAAATATTGTACTTGGCTAAATTAATTCAAGAAACTAAATAGTTGTGTCTATGTTAGGTATGTACCTATATCATGAAGACTTAATTAAATATTTAATGATATCAGTACCTGGGAGGTAAATTAAACTATGTCGTACTATTTATAGAGGCATGTTGGAGGTATATGACACTATGCCATAGAAAAAATGTTACCAGAACATAGAAATATGTTACCAAAACTAAGTTATGTATATATAAAAAAAATAAATTAATAGATTATTAGTAAACAATACATATTGTGACAATAATTGGAGCTAACTGCATTTCTTGTCGAAATATAATTGATATATGTTAATATGGAACACAAAAGTGTCCAAACATTCAGTCTGCTCTACTAAAAAGTTGACTAGAATGACTGCAGTTTATCTCCGAGGCACTAAGTACATATTAAATAATTTTGACTTTATCATTTTTTATTGTATCTATTTTTTTAGTCTATTATGTTATTGTTTTAGCCTTGATTATAAACTGGACAAAATTAACGCAACATCATAAATTTGCCACATTTTTTATGCTATTTTTTTTTTTTGAATTTATGATCCGATTTGAATGATTTTTTTGCATTGTTGGTTCCTTGACAATGTCATAATTTTCGCTGTTTATGATAAAAAGTTCTTTTTCGATTTATACCGTGTGTAATAAAAATATAATGTTTTGTTCCGAAAATTCGTATCACCCTATGGAGTATACTAGTAATCAAAACATATAGCAGTTGACATTAGACCATCATTCGCCAACATTTCTTTTTTGATTATTATCTAGAAAACATTGTGATTGTTCCTTTTTTGGGACCGAATAGTTTATTTATGCAGGATAAAGCCCGTCCCCACGTGGTTAGACAAGTTATAGAGTACACGAACTTTGTACCAGGTCTTCAACAATACCTGAAACCCACGTGATCTGA